ACCAAAGTAGCAATAGCACCATATCTATCTGTGCTTTAAGCAATCATTTAAGATGCTGCATCTCTCCCAACTCTAGTTTTCCCAAAGAGTTTCTTGCCCCAGGCACTCCTTGGCACTGCTGTCCCAAAGGCTTGGTGCAGATCTCCATACCTCCTCAGCTGTTCAGCACAGCACACTGCTGTTAACTTCAAAAAGCACAGGGGGAAGATAAAACAAATAGATGTCAGCACAGTTTATTTTGAAAGGCTTTTCCCTGTGAAGCATGTGTGCACACTTACATTTCCTCTAAAACTGAAAAGTTCCCTTGCCTACCTCATATCAGGAGCTACATCCACTTTTTGTCTGTCCAGCCATACTAACATATAGAGATGAGCTTCACAAGAAAATTGCCATCAGGATGGATTTTTCAGATCCTTCAGCCTGGCATCTCAAAAGACATGTTACTGGAGAGCTGGATATCAGATATGTTTACAGAAAATTCGGTCTGTTTAAGCAAAAAGCTTATTAAACCTTGTGTTATACAACAGAATTTGTTTCAGTTTGGAGGTAAACACACAACCATGCATACAATGTATGTCAGTTATCTGTCATTCATTCATTCATGACACATGTCAGATCAAAATATTTTGATTGCTTCAACTAACTTTCTCCCAAATTAGAGTATTTCTCTGTAGACAGGACTCACATGGCTCCAGGCCAAACATTGACTAAGAACTATGTTTTCATATATTTCTTGTGTAGTATTTTAGGAAAATACAATTAGGAAAGGCAAGAACTGAACTGCACATCTCATTATCTTCAGCATAGTTTTCAAAAACTGAGCTGAGGAGGACTCCTAGTCGATAATTCTTGTTATATAGTTTTCAGCACTATTTCTCTTGCAACTGTGGTTGTAGAACTTAGTTTAAACTAGATCCTAGTATAGGTGTTTTGGGGTTTTTTTAGAGAGGATAATTAAAGTGCCTTTTGTCCCATGTAGTTAGAGGGAAAAATTCCCTGAGCTCTTTCACTTTTTTTTTGTTCTCTCCCACCTCTCCCAACCCCTAGTGGTTCATCTGCAGTTACGTTATGGTGTTTTTACATCTAGTAGGAAAAAAAGACATTCATTTCTGTAGGGTCTGTGTTAAGGCCAACTCAGAGTGATACATACCTCTACAAAATTAACAAAGGCCTTGCTAATAAACCAGCAAGCAGATATCTAAGATTAAGAGCTTCTTTGAATACCTCCATAAAGCACATATTTATTGTGAAGAAGACCATATCACCAGGCCCTTCTGGACTGTTCGAGGCTATGCAAAAGGTACACTGTGAGTTAAGTGTGTTAAAGTCAGTTTTCGGTGAGCTCAACAGTTTGCAGTTTCAGACACCACGTCACCATATTAGGTTCAGAGGATTGAATTTCCTTCTGTACTTCTGCCTGCTCTATCTGACACTGTACTTGGTTGGAAAGGGTTTTTCCAGGATAAATGCATTTCACCCACTGTAAATAATGCACGACCTAAATCATTGTAGTATGTGTAATGTCTTTGCTATACATAGTTACCTGTTGTGATTACAACAGAGAATATCATAATGCAATTACTTTGAAATATGTGGATGAAGAAATGCAATGAGCATAATTTCAGGAGACTGTTTTAGCTGCTGGAGCTCAGGGCCCTGGTGAGACTGTTACATGAGCAGTCTAGAAGCAAACAAAATATTGCTCTCTACATGAGAACTACCAGAGTTACTTGTGAGGAATAATTTATTAATCACATTTAGTCTCTTTTTCCACTTGTAATTTATCTGCAAGCACTTGGCGTTTTTTTTTCCTTCAGTTTTAATGACTGCTTGAAACGATCCTCTGATTTTCAGGGCGTTCGCAGCCATCTCATTACAGACAGCAATCTGTGATAGGTAAGAATTAGATTTGATTGGGCACATATGTGAGGTGGTCTCCATTCTGCTCTCTGAGTGTCTCTCCTGTGACTGTATTTATGACCCAACTGTTCATGTTTACAAGTTCAAAATGAAGCTTCTCTGAATATTCTCTGGTAGTCAGTTGAAAAGTTCTGTGTCTCCACAAGTTTCTGCCCCACTGCTTGTTCCATTTCATACTGAAAAAAGGCCAGATTCTCACTTTCAACTTTTTACTCATGATACTCATGTGGTAGTTTAACTATCAGCTTCAGCTGGGAAAAAAAAGTGCCACAACATAGCTTGGTGACAGAATACAAACCAGGGTCCAAGTCTGACAGAGAAAATGTAAACCATTGCCTTACTTTGCATTGCCTTGTCTTGCCTTGCCTCTCTCAACAGATTTTTAACTCCCTGAGCTTGTAATGAGCAACTCAGTGTTGCTGACTTATTTATAAATTGATTAAACTGCATTGGTGAAGCCTGATATTCAGAAAATCTGCATACAGCATTCTAGAGTAAGTGAGAGACTTAAAAATATAAATAATAAGAAGAGTGAATTTCATGCTTCGGATTAGGTGAAAATTGGCTGGACAATGTGAAGACATAATGTGAATCCAGAGATAAAAAAATAGATGAATAAATGAGCATACTTTTTATAGCTTTCTTCTTCATTGTCCTGATACAGTCTCTTATTTTTTTGTTTCTCTGACTGATGTCTAAGCAGCTGATCATTCCAACAGAACATTTTTTCATCAGAAAATACTGCTGAAATTTAGTGGGAATGTTTCAGCATTCACAGTGTTGCACAGTGTTGCTCTGAAAACCAGACCAAATTTTCTGACAGCACAGTTTCCTGGAAAGACTTGCTCCCTTGTCTTTGGGTCCTTGATATATCTGGCACGCTCGAAAGCAGCTAGGAACCTAGAAGCAGTAGAAATTCCCTGCACCCAGAGACCCAACACAGCACCTGCCATAACTCCCAGACACCCAGGCTGTTAAATCTCCAGCCCTTTAATTGGGCTACCTCAAAGACGCATGGTGCAGATTCTCAAAGTTACACATTTCATTGCCTTGCCGCTTCCCATTTTGTGAAAAATACGAACCCGTTAAGCATGGTGCAGATTCTCAAAGTTACACATTTCAAATCATTCCAAATTTCTCCCAAGCAATGTACTCACTGCCTAATTTCTTTCTCAATCTGAGAATTTTTCATAGAGTAGGAATTTCAGCCTTCAGAAATCTGTTTTTTTTAGTGTGTTTAGTGTGTTTAGCACCAGACATCTGCTTGGCAACCACACTGCCTCCTTCATTTGTGCATGCCATTACTGTTCTAACTCTTATTTCACACCTTTTTTTGACTTCTCTTTTCAAAGGGATGTTTTGATTTAGCTTTACAGTAAGGTCCTTCCCACTCTGGTACAGCACAAAGTAGTGTCTTGGGGAAATGTGTCAATTAACCCGCTGCCTTTGACCACATCTGTGGTGGGATAAGACAATACAAGAACTATGACAACCCATCTGCCTTAAACTGAGGGTTTATTGTTTATTGAGAGGAACATCTTATTTACCTTTCAGTGATATTTTTCGCAGTTTGCAGGAAGCGAGCGTGATCGTTCTCCTTCAGCGACTGTTCAGCCTGAGAGATGAGGGATGTTGAGCGCTCAATGCACTGTTTGCAGTTCGCAATCTGCTGAGCCAGTTTTCTCAACCTCACCACCTTGAGTGGAAAAATAAGAAAGCAGTCACATCTCTAAGGTCAGAAATCATGATTGCATTTGCACTTCCGAGGGGAAGCTGGAATGTAAAGGGGGAGTTAAGATGAATGGCTTTGCTGACTAGAGCTTCTTTCACACTAGCTTGATGGTGAGCCCCATCTAGCCACATAAAATTTTTAATAAGCAGACAGGCACAGCCTTTCTGCCTCAATATTTTCCACATGGAAAACAACAGGGGAGAGCCAAAACAAGCACAGCTGGCCTATTTTCCAACAGAAGAAACATCATTTCCTGGTATTTTCTGCTTACATGATAACTAAGGGCTATTTAGATAACTGTTTCCGTGAAGTGATGAGATTCGTGCTAAAAGCATCTTACAGATTAACTACTTTTTTCATATTACTGAGGTGAGTTTCATAAAAAATAATCTGAAAACAAAACTCGATAAAAAAAGACTGTTCAATTCTACTAACAATACATGCCTGCCCTTTTCATTCTATGTTTTTAGTCAAACAGGCTGTTTTCTTCTTGGGTATTTTTAACTAGACAAAAGCACAGTAGCACTGGAGAGACAATTATTATTACTGCAAACATATGTGCTGGAGATAAACACAGTAGATGTGACTGTAGTCATTAGCTGAAAGGTTAGGGAGGGGCACAGTCGATCCTCCATTTAAAGACAATGTTGGCTAACAAAGCTTCTAGTTCCTGAAAGGTCTGGGAGTCCTTCCCATTGTTATCACATCAGGATCATAGTTTGAACAGCAGTAAGAAATAGGAAGGATATGAAATAATTCTGGAGTTTAGAAAGGTGTTAAGACCCAGTTACATGCAAAATGAGGAAACTAACAACCAAGTGGATTGGTAGAAATATCCAAATTTATAATCAAGACAATGTTCCCAATCTCAGCAATTAGGGCACAAGCTATAAAGCTGCTGAGTTGAGTTTCAGATATAATTATGTCCTAAGCAGAGACAAGGGTATCTCAGTGCACCTACTCAACAACAGAATCCAGCAGGAAAATAAATCTTTTGGAAAACTTTCAAAAAGAAAATACTGGCCAAATTATTAGTGTCCTTTAACATTGGTAGTTCTTCTAAAGACAGAAACAACAAAGGGAGAAAAACCCTGGGAAAGTATAAATATTTTGATAATGCTAATTATCTGATCAGCTTCTAGGATGAATTAATGCCATAATATTTTCTCTAACTGTGCATTTGCAGCGATTACAATTTGGTCTACATCAGTCGAACCAGGGAAAGGTTCATAGCAGTATTAAGTACCTCATCTCTTTATTTGCTTATGAATTAACAAAACAAACAATGAACTGAAATAAATGTTATCTTGTGAGCTTTTAGCAGTCAGAGGGCATGTCATGATTTGTGAGGTCCACATACGAACTAGGGTTTTGTTTGCTTGATTCTTTTTTATATCTTCTTCAAGAAGACAATTGATGATAAGCTTTAAAAGGAAGAGTCTCGTCTCACCTGTTCTCCACCCATCACCCCCAGTGGCAGGAACATCTACACTAAAATTATCTTATCTATTTGATATTTAAGTGTTTTCCTGTTTCGGGTGATAGGTGAGATTAGGGATGGAGTCGCACTACATTGTCAGACTCATGTGTCTGAATCTGCAGCCTTGCAGCCATAGTTAGAACTTTATACCTGTTTCCAGCTCTGTAGCCATAACAATAGTCTTATAGACAAATTTGCCATGCCCTACCTTACAGAAAGACTCTTAGCCACAGGCCCTCTTAAAAGAAGGTACATTGGGCAGAATTTCAAGTGGCTTTTCACATGCATCTCTTGAATCTCTGAAATCTTTCAACATATACAACATTTCGGGCAAAGCATTCCAGATCTTTGCTAGACCTCCACTGACATCACTTTTGGTTGAACAAAGTAAAACAAAGAATAGGGATAGATTCTGATATCAGTTATATTCAAATAAATTTGGAGTCAATTGTATTACAAATCTTCCATGCTCTAAGGGACATTAGAATACATCTCTGCAAGCAATAGATTTTTTAAAAGCAACTCCTGTATATAGCACTAATCCAAATGAAAGTTTTCTGCTTCATTGGAAGCACAGCTGGTCTCACTGCACAGAAAAACAGTTGAAATAACAATACAGAAGGCCATCTTTTCCATTTTGAAGAGAATTATATTCTGTCAGCAGCATGAGGAAATTCAGGTTCTGTCACACAACGTACAGGACCTGTGGTTTCAAACACGTTTCAGTCAGTCCTTGCCTACAGGCCTTTTATTTCAAGTTAATTGGAACATCTTGACAGCTGCATGAACCATTTAACCTGCTCTTGACTTTATTCCTTCCCTGAGCTTTTCCCACACAAGAAGAGTTTATATTTGACTTAGTTAGTTTAGCAGTTAAAGAGTAAACACATGTACCTAGAAAATAAGAACATTAATTCAACTCTAATGTGTTTCTGAGTTAACAGGTAGCTAGCAAAATGTGTTGAAACTTGAATATCAGCAATTTTTCCTGCTCAATGTGTTTGTCACTATAATCATTGTACCTCAGTAATTAGAAATGCACACTTCATTAAATTTCCTCCTTGATTTTGATTTTTTTTTGTAAATAAATTAGATTTCCTAGTCTCAAGAACAACAATGATTGAAACAAATTCTTTATATGGTAGTGTTTTAATAAATAATTACAACATCTAGACAAAAATATTCACACAGATAAATGCCAGCCATGGTAGCAAATGTTGTGACACCTTGTGAAAGTGAAAACTTTGGGGGAAACACTGTCAGACATATAAAAAAGTGAAGGAATCATTAATTAGTCATAGTTTGATTATCATTCACTGATGGTGACACCAATTCTGTGTTTATCCTTAAAAATCATGACATGCAGTAAGAGAAATGTCAAATAAACTGTTGAGGACTAGCATACTAATCTTCATATATTTCTTTCCTCTTTAAGTGAAAGTTGCAGTAGCCCAGGACAAATAAGGCCTTTTACAAATTTATATTAATAGTACCTGAGGTCAAAAAGCTGTAAACATGAGGAAGTAGTGTTGACCTACTTGTGATCTAAATAAAAAATCTTTTACCTTTCCTTCCTTGATTTTGGTTCCAATTATTTGTCGTCTTTGCTGGATTATTTCAATGAGCTGGTCACATTCTTCCATCAGCTTGGTTTCTTGGCGGGATGCATTTACCTGCAAAGCAAACCATTATGATTGGCAAAATCTCCTTTTCCTTTCTCTAATTTAAAAATTGTAATTTCTAAAGCGTTGGGTTTGGCATGTTTTTGCTCCTTTCTATGTATAATCTGTGTTATTTTGTTTTCCCTATCTTGGATTTTGTGAAATACTGAAACAAGTCTGAATGTCCTCTTTGTAGGAGGTAGGACCTGGAGATAGGGTATTTCTATCAGGTATTTCTAACTCAAGTGAGAAAAGCCTGGTCCTGTCAACCGTATCCCGGGCTGCATCAAAAGAAGTGTGGCCAGCAGGTCGAGGGAGGTGATTCTGCCCCTCTACTCAGCTCTCATGAGACTCCACCTGGAATACTGTGTTCAGCTCTGGATTCCCCAAAACAAGAAGGACATGGAGCTGCTGGAGCGGGTCCAGAGGAGGGCCACAAAGATGATCCAAGGGCTGGAGCACCTCTGCTATGAAGACAGGCTGAGAGAGTTGGAGCTGTTCAGCCTGGAGAAGAGAAGGCTCCGGGGTGATCTTATAGCAGCCTTCCAGTACTTAAAGGGGGCCTACAGGAAAGCTGGGGAGGGACTTTTTACAAGGGTGTGTAGGGATAGGACAAGAAGCAATAGATTTAAACTGAAAGAGGGAGATTTCGATTAGATATAAGGAAGAAATTTTTTACATTGAGGGTGGTGAGGCACTGGAACAGGTTGCCCAGAGAAGTTGTAGATGCCCCATCCCTGGAAGTGTTCAAGGCCAGGTTGGATGAGGTTTTGGGCAACCTGGTGTAGTGGAGGGTGTCCCTGCCCATGGCAGGGGGGTTGGAACTAGATGATGTTTAAGGTCCCTTCCAACCCTAACCATTTTATGATTCTATGATTCTATGTCAGTTACAGTGGACAGCAGTGAGAAGCGAAGGCTCTTGAGGAGGTGCTTAACACCTCACAGATTCAAGCCATATATAGGACTGCAGTGAACACTAATGCACGTAAGAGCACAAATACTGGATCAGACAGTCCATCTAGTGCCAGCACCTGCTAGTAAAGCATTTCAGAAAGAAGTCCTAACATGTATGGTGATTCCCATGAATATTTTCTCATTCTCCAACCAACTGCAGCTCAGAGTCTTCTTGAACCAGCTACAATTTACATCATTAATAATCCTCAGAAGAGTTATCTTCTGTGGCTTTATTTAGTCTCTCCTTCAACCTCTGCCAAACTTTAAGTATCCCCACCATCCCACAGCAATGAACACCATGGATTAACTCACAGTCAAATGAACTACTACCTCCTTTAGAGGGATTTGAACCTGTCTCCTTCCAGCTGCATTTAATGACCCCAAGTTCTTTTACTGGAAAAGACAGTGAACTACTGATACCCACCCATAACCTCTATGCTGCTTGTGCTTTTACAGAACATTGTTGTGTCCTCTAGCAGGGCTTCATTTCTACATTGAAGAGTCTTCAGTGAGTCATTTTTTCCTTGTATGAAAGCCATATCATACCTTCAATCATCCTTGGTTTTCTTCTCCGAAACTTTACCAGGTCTATCGTCTTTTTGATATGAGGAACAAAACTGTACTAGGTATTCAAGGTACAAACAAACTATGGAGTCATACAGTAGCACGATGTGTTCTGAACTTCATCTTGATTACTTTCATTATAACTCCTACGTTTGATTTGCTGAATTTAACACTTGAAAATATTGTTTATTATTTTCAGTGTCCGTATAGTGGTTCCTGAAAGATTCAAATTACCAAAGATCCAAGTGACATTACCAAGTCATGTGTATTGATTGTCTTTACTATTACCACTGCCTCATCAATGAATCAGACAGAAAATAATAGCTGTGCTCATGTAGTTTTCTACAGTACAAATGAATAAGCCAGTTTTTTAACTCAAAAAATCTCACAAAGAATATCACTTTCTATGTAAAATGTTGACTTTTGTCAAAAAATAAGAAAACTTAAACCAGAAAAGTTTTGATTCTCAGCTGAAAATGTTTTGTTTCTGGGGAGGACTGTTTTTTTTCAGTAAAAAGTCAACATTTTGTATGACAAGAAAAATGTACTTCCCCACCAGCAGTAGCATGTATAGCTTACATGTATGCATAGAGAGTCAGAGAAAAAGGCAAAAAGTTCTGATCATATCTAGAATAAAGAAAAAATTAAAGGAGTGATTTGAGAGCTGTGATTCCATACATGCTTTGCTAAGAGGGTAGAGTGCCCTTCATCCCTGGCCACTTGCTCCTAGAGCCATATCACCTCTTCCATTGGGCTAGTAAGAGCTACAGGTGAACAACAACAGGGAATAGTTGCAGGTGACAACTACATTTCTCCCCTTGGTTATTTTTCAGTCTGATGAGCTCCTTGATTTGTCTCAGCGGTCTTTTTTTTCTTCCAACAATGTGTTTAAACATGCATTTACCTGTAAGCACATTATGGAGCTCATTAAGATTAAGTAAATGCTCATATATCTAAATTTGAACCAGGACCAATTTTACAAATAACCTTGTTATGTGAAATATATTGTGTCCTCCGGGCAAAGTAAGGACTTGTTTACAAAGGCCTGCTTTCATTAAGGTTTTGGATTATGCTTCTCAAACCTTCATAAAATTAAAGTTGGATTGCATATCTTACAGGCCTAATTATTAATTAAGATATCAACATTATAAAGAGAAAATACATTTTTTTCTAGAAGGGGTCAGATGGTACTGAAAATGCTGGGGAGATCTGCAAGCAAAAAGTGAAGATGTAGAAAGTACTTCCACCATGCAGTTTTAGGTGCCTGTTTATGCCCCTACGTTACCTGTTTGCTCTGCCTCACTTCCCAGGGCGATCCAGGAGGAGAGACAAACCACAGAGCAGCTCACCCAAAGCCTCTCCACCAACCACTCAAGTAGCCTGGAAGAACTAATCAATCAACGCTGCCCCTCCTATTCCCCCTTCTCTCATCATCCCACCACCCCAGCTCCATCACACCCTCCCGTCATGCACCCTATTTTGGCATGAAACCCTGCAGGGCTGTTTCCAATGAGCCGTTCAGTGCACGAGTCTCCTCTGCCCTGACTCCAGTTTCACTAGTGGATTGAAATTCCACCAAAGAGGGAAGAATCGCAAATGGGCTCAGTCGAGGCAACGATCACATTCACTGCACGTGAATACAACTCCTTCTGTGCCAATACTGAGGTCTGCTCATGCCAGAGCCGACTTTGGCACTTAATTATGGTAACGCTTCACAGAATTTTTGAGGAGCTTCCACTCAAAGTGTTACTTCTATCACCACTTACGTCATGAATTCGCTTTGTCAAGCAGATATAATTAATCTTTGGGGTAACTGTCATGAAACATAGAGTTACAGGAAGGTTAAGTCAACATCGTTTCATTTAATGCTCTGGTTGGTTTGAATTATAAAGTATTAATTAAATCTCTAGACTAAGAAAAACAAAATGTTTGGAAAAAACCTTTGGACTTCTTACCCACTGACTGTAGACTTCTCTTTTCCTTTGAAATCTGAAAACTATACTCTTTCATAAACTTCATTTAAAGACATTTCCAAATGTATAGCGTGCACAAGCTTATTAAAAGTGAAAAGAATGTCTTAAAATTATTTGATATATCTGAGCTTTGTATTAAAAAAAAAAAACCAACCACATTTAATCTGGGGGCTTTTCTCAAGTTGAAATATTCCTTAATCAAATTTTCAACCTACAAGGCCTCTGATTCAGTAATAACTTTATAATTGAGCACATGCCTAACTTTAAGTGCACCGTATTAGCTGTGGCCCTAAAGGGACTATTTGTGAGATTAGCAGTGAGTATTATTTACTTGTATGTTTCCGAGGAGTCATATGTCAGATGAAAGAGCCACAGGCATGGAGCAGGGCTCCACTGTACAGGTGCTACAGAAATACCAGAATAAGGCTCTGCCTTTTGCTTGAGCCCTTTGATGAACAGCAACCTTGACAATAACTTCCAGCTGGGGCTGGCCAAGGAATGCAAGTTCTGTCTGGTGAAAATATTTGAGGTTTTACATTCTACATTTTTCCACATAAAAACCAAGCCCCCTTTCCAAGAAGTTCATTAAAAGAGACTGAGAGCTGCATTAGAAAAGTCTGGAGACTGTGCTGCTCACTTTGGTTGTGGGAGGCTCTGAATCATGCAGGGAGCAGTTTGAAATCTGGGCTTCCTCCATCCCAGATGGATGTTGACTCCTTAATCTGAGATATCTACTGTCTGAGAGTTTATGCTAGACTTGGAGACATCTTTCTGTAGAAAACTTTACTGACATCAATATACTTTTGGCATCAGCAAATTCCTTAAAAATCTACATCCAGAACTACTCCAAACCCAAAGCTTGGTGTTTTGCTGGCATCATTTTTATAAACTTCTCTTCCATGCAACAAAGTAGTTTTAAACTGACTAAGAGGTCTTGTTACAATTTAGCAAAAATAACGGCATTTTCTACTACAAACAAGCAAGAACTGATTCTAGTAATTTCTGTAATATCCAAAGACCTCAGACAGTTTATCAAAAAAAAAAAAAAAATTTCAGGGTTCTTTCCAAGTTTTCCAGACAGATGCATAGGGTCTGCTGGCCTGTGCCTCAGGGAGTGGGTGTAGAAAAAAAGAAAAATGGGGGTTGCTCAGATGTGTGACAGGGAGCTGGAAACAACAAGCCCTCCTGACCCAAAGGGAGGGTAGGCCAGCTGTTCCCAGCTCCACAAGCTGAGAACTGCTTTGGAAAGTGTTCTGCTCTCTGCAGAGGCTTCCTTGGCTTTCATCTTCAGAGACCTGAGTTAAACTGCAGCTTAGGTCATAAGAAAATGAATGTGGTGGTTTCAAAGTCCCCAGCAGATGTTTGGGAAATCACAGATATACAACACAGTGAGAGGCTGAAGTTTACAGGGGAGCTTCTCTGGTTAATTCAAAGGCAAACAGAGTGTCAGAGTGCTAGATTTATACCCATGAAAACTTCCTCAACCAGTTCATTGAAATCAAAGGATTTTTTTAGTGTCTC